GTTTTTAAGTCTTTTAAATCCCACCATTGATAACCACAGTCCACTGAGCCTCAAAGACTGTCCCAACCGATCAAAATCAGAGAACACGACCAAGCTTTGTAGAATCTCTTCATGTACGTACTTTCACCTATTGCAATCAATAAGCTCTCCATTCAACCAATCTGGTAAACTCGGCACATGCTGCATAAACAAATTAAAAAAGAAAAAAGAAAAAAAAAAATCTTTAAGTGAGAGAAACATAAATGTTGAGAGGGAGAGGTCAGGCGAGACAATCGGTTACTTCCACTAAAAGGCAAGAGCAAAATCTGCACTATCAGTAGCCAGGGTGTGAGACAAACAAAAGAATTTCTTATATTAATCACATATATATGGTGGATTATAAAATCATCAATTGCAGAACGAGACATTGAATAGATGCATCCATTTGATCATATGTTCTCCGAGACATTAACGGCATGCTCATGATTAAGAAGCTAAGAATCTAAACCAAAGAATCGACTATTCATAGCAAATACCCCGTAACCACAAGCTTAAGCTATAATTCAAGTCTCCACATACAGTGTGGAAAGATGGAAATTCATCCTACCAAAATGCTGTAAAAACTATGTGGGATGACAATAACAGCTTCAACAATTCATATACCACTTATATCTACCAATCAATCTAAGGGACCAGTAACCAAAACCAACCCAACCAATCAACCTATGAACACGAAGCAGATGTTTTATGCGGTTCATTTACTTTTGAAGCTAAAACAAAATCAGGTACTTCAACAAGCATAGACAAGCGCACAAAGATACACACACGAGAGAGAGAGAGAGAGACGGACCCTAATCAACGGCAGGTGCCTGCAACACTCCCAGACCAACCATGTTCCATACAACTTAATAAACATTGGCCATTCTGCAAGCATCCGACCATGGACATTTGCTTTCAAAAATAGGTCACAACCTAAAACATTAAAAAAACTGGTTGGATGAGGATACTTGATCTCAAAAACCCTCGCAAGATAACTCAATTATCCAACACAATAGTATCAATGAATCATAACAAGTGTGTTGTTGTTGTTGACTTGTTGTGCGCGCACACACACACCCACACACACACACACACATATATATATATATATTACAAAAGAACCAAGGAGAAACTACCTTTTTCCATCAACGTTCTTTCGATCATCTCTCACACAAAGAAACGACCTTCCCATATTGACTGCCCTTGATACTGCTGTGGGGGCCCGGGCTGCTGGTTTCCATTCTGAAATGGTCGAAGATGATCCCCATACTGCTTCATATGTCCTTCAAACTGGTCATGCCAACCTTTCGGCCTTTCACTCTGAACTTGAACATTAGCAACTTGCTTTCCAGGGAAAGGAAATGTTGCAATCTCCATCTGACCGTTGCTCTGGCTCACGGAAGGGAATGCATTTGGACCCACTTGATTCATTGAACTACTGAATCCAACACTTTGTTTAGCTGCGGACAACTGATATCCATCCAGCCAGCTGTAATCGACCATTGGTGCAATTGGGCGATTATCACTTTTCAAGGCTGTGGTGGACAACAGCTCTTCGGCAGCTTTTGGAGGGAAGGAACTGAAACCAGGTGGCGGACCAAAATGTCTTACTGGTCGACTCACGGGATTTTTCTTTGGGCCCGGTGGCATAATTGTAGATGGTTTCACTGGTAGTCCATTGACTGATGCTCCAGAGGTCATAACAGAATCTAGCTTCGGCGGCATAGTAGCCTGTGGAATCTGAATGGAATAATTTTGGCTACTTCCAGGACTCACAAACTGGGGGTAGGGCATGGAAAAGGAAGTGGGTTGAGAAACTCCAAACTTTTCTTGCAGCTCCGATTTCAGCAGGGGTCCACCATTTTCCCCTAAATTTAAGTGGGCCAAACCATTCACAATAGAATTGTGTTCTACAGACCAATTCGATGTGTTGGGCTGGATTGACTGCAGAGTTTGTGGATTGCCATTAGCAACAACGTCAGAAAGTTTAAAGCCTGCACTCGAAGCAACATGTAGGAGAAAACCATCATTTACAACAGAGGACCGGTTCTCATTCTTAGAATCCATCTCACCAAACCCAACAGTGGGAGAAGAAACCCCTAAACTCAAAGTAGTAGAAAAATCATTGACATGCTTCTCAGTAGCGGGCGGCCTAAAAACAATCACCTCATCCTCGTCCTCATCATCCACGCCCATCTCCATCTTTGACACCATTCCGTATTGCACAGGAATGCCTACCGTGCTAACACTCACACTGGGTTCCAGTAAATAATCATCAACATCCTGAGGCTCAACACCAAACACAAATTTCTTCTGCTTAGAGACGTAATATACACTCTCCTGGCCATTTTTGATGATATTTGCAAGAGCCTTCCCAGCTGCAATGATCCTCTGAACACGGGCCATCCTTTCTTTACTGCCACCATCACCACCAAATGAGTGTTTTCTCGAAAAATCGAGGATGAGTTGGGCAGGAAGAAGAGGAACAAATCCCCTCAGCTCAAAGTCCTCGGGCAGCGCCAGACGATTGGCAGTCTCACTCTCGTCATACTTACTCATGTTAGAAAAACATGTTTCATCTTCATCTTTACCGACAAATACACCACTTGCCAAAAGCTTGTTCAGAAATGAGATACATTTGTTCCAGAAGTAGGACCTGGCATTCACTTGTTTCTCCTCCATATCACTCCTGATTGTTACATCCTGATGACAGGCAAGCCACTCAACAAATACCATAATCCCAGGTAATAAGTAGCTCGATGAGGGATCAGATAACTGGTTACATCGTTCAAGAACGCAGCCCAAAAATTCAAAGGTTGCAGTAAAAGCATTTTGAAGCAGGACAGAACATTGCAGTATATCGGCATATGATTGGTTTTCGCTTTCCCTGTTCACATTATGCACGGTAAATATTAGGATAGCAATCACCCTGACAATTGTGAGTCTACACTCAGCATCATCCGAACCAAAGTTGGCTTCTTCACGATGCCCAGAAGAAAGAAGCTCCAATAAATCACTTTTAACCAATGAGAACACCTCGGCAAAGGTCTCCAAGCTGTAATCAAATTAAAAGAACGAGTCCGTAAAACATTAGTTTGAAGAAAAAAAAATCTAACAATCAAGAAATTTTAAAAAAAAAACCTTGTACGAGTAAAGAGAATGCCGTTCAGCCTCACAAATCGCGTCACGAAGACCTTCAAGAGATCAAAATTATTTGATGCTTTTCCCTTAACTACGGTGGCCTCAATCTTGCTATCTTTAAAAGAAGGCTTGGTTTCCCCTTTGCCTCTTCCTTTCCCAGGCACCCTTTGAGGTGTCATCTTGACAGCAGCAGCAGTCTTAGCATCACCAAGTAGTTGGGTATAGTTCTGACGGTTCTGCAAAAGTGAAGAAAAATATTGTTCAGAATGTTCTAATACTGATGTTAATTGTCGTTGCATCATTTTGCAACAACATTTCCTCAACAAAGTGATGGTCAGATACTGAAAATTTATGCCAGAGTTTACACACAAACTCCATATAAGATTTTTAATTCCGAATACAGACAACAGATACCAGAAACACACTGTCCTTCAAAAACTGACAAAATTGAATGGGATGCTAATTTAACATAAGAACAGACACTATATTACACATGCATGACTAAAAGCATTTGCAACCAGCTAATCATCACGCTGCAAACTTCTTCTTCATTGTATGAAGCAAAAAAATAAAGTAGACAGAATTAATAACTTTCAGTATATTTCTATATATGTTTCTCCCATGAGAAAGTAATCACGTCAAGCAGCAACCGTGTACGCAAGACAGCTTAAAATTCACTAAAGGGATATATACGACACAAACTCAATTTATTGCAACCATTTAATACTGAACTCACCTTCTCAAAAGCAATGATCAAGTTATCCCTAGCAGTAATGAAAGGGTTCTCAACTGCGAGACTTCTAAAATAGCGGTAAATTGACAGCAGTTCATCATTTGAATATCCAGCCAGTATAGCAAGCTGAGAAACACATAAGGTAATTTCAAATTAATAAATCAAGAATAACTAGCTCAACAAAAGCTCGATTCAATGTACTAACAAATTGCCATAGCAAAAAAAATTCATATAGAGCACCTGATGATGTGGATTGCCACTTGAAGGCCAGATTGAAGAAGCTTGCATGTAGTAACTAGAAGCAGCTGTGAAATCCCGGGCTTTAGAATCCCCTTCCGCATACAAGCTTTTATATCGTGCTAAATCCCCCAGATAAATCAAGCAACGATGACAAGATATCAAGCCCTTTTTCATATCGGATGATTTATTTCCATCTTCTGATATCGAAATCTGAGTATCACGATCGTCAGAAAAATATCCCAATTGCAACCCATACTTTGCTCGTATCTTCAACATCAGATCATGATAAAATCCACTGGCCTCGGAAAGAAATGTCTTAAACTGGGAACGAATCTTCGTAAGCCGATCTGGTCCAGAACGAACAGGAGCTTTCACATTTTGGGATCCTGTAGAAGCTAAAGCTGCATTGAAGAGTGCCCTCAGTTCCTCAATCCTCCTATAATGCAACTGCCACAGAGCATATTCTACATCGTGTTGTTCGGAAAAAGCATGATCTTCAAGGATAAGTGCTTCATAATTTTCACGCATATTCTGCCATGTGTTGGGATCTGAAGGAATCCTGGCCTGAGAAGCTTTCCTCCGCTTGTTCTCCAATTCAACATTCTACAACAACCCGTACCAGTTATCACTCAAGCAAATAGATCAACAAGATACAGATGCAACACTGTTGACAATATCAATTCAAAAGACTCTTTTCTGAACCACATGCACAAAGCCAGAGCAAAATACCTGTTCCATCTAAAAATAGAGAACTATAGGAGCACATACCTTGTTAAAAAGACGCTGAACGCGGTCCCTTGTACAATTCTTTTCGTCTTTATCCATCAGCATGGTCATGTTTTGTTGAATAAGAGGCTCCAATAATCAAGATATACAGCCTCAGTACGGATATACGGCATTTAATCCACGGAAAACTACCTGCAGTAGAACATATTTACTGGAAAGTAATTGTACAAGAAAAAAAAGTCAAAATTGACAAGAGCATACAAAATACACTTCTGTTTTCTCCATGTCATCCATGCACCACATATTCTATATAAAGGTGAAATCAAATACTCACAATAGCCACTCAAAAAGACATGTTCACATGACACAATTTGATTTTCAGCTGTCTCTAAAGCTTCAAGCGCACAAGCAGCCAAAAGATACCAGTCAAATATCAAAATACTATTATTAAATTCGCCAAAACATGTTTTTCGTATCTATCTACACATAAGTAACAGACATTAAAAACCCATTACACGCTGTCGAGTGTTAACCTTACTAGCCGCATTCTAAAAGCACACGTGGGAGAAAAAGATGAAAACATTTGACCACCACCTGATTCATTAGTTGCATGACTACTTAATGTAAAGGCATGTAAACATTGAATTTCGGATGAAAATTCTTCATGTCACAAAGAGATTACCATAACGAATATGTACTACCAACCCAATCACAAATTTCACCAATCACAAATTTCACCTGATGAAAACCATTCAAGGCATTCAGTTTTATACAAAACAAGTATTGGTGGAAACTTCCAACCCTATACCCAACTACAACCCTAACTCTACCCAACTACAATCAAGAGAGGAGGTTACAGAATTCTCAATCAAA